CTCTGAAGGCACTAAAATTTCCGTTCCTCCAATCTCTGCATCTGACCCTTGCCCATCTGCCTGGCTAATTCTGGCTTCATTTTTATACCTAGTTTTCACCTTGAACTCAAAAATTATGTAATTTTTTTTTAATCAAACGATAAGGCTCATTGTACAGAGTGCATGACACATCACCTCCTTACAGTCACGGTGCTCCTGAATAAAACATCAGGGGTGCTTAATGGAGAGGTGATGAGTCCGTTGACTTTGTTATTATTACCATAATTAAGGCAAAAATATAGCTAGCTAAAGAGGTCTTGCCAAGATAATGAATATTTCTTAATTACCCGAGGCTTTGCACAAGCCCAACTTTATGCTAAACTCAATTTCCCCCTGTCACACTTAAATACTTAATCAAAAAGAAGCTCCAAGTAGAACCTGAGAGTGAAAAGTTTCAGAATGAGAGGGTTCACAGAGCCAGAACACCAAGGCCCTCGTTTTATAAGTGTGAAATCTTAGCATCTTTCTCATGTGGCCCTGCATGGGTGTGGTGCCTCCTGTCTCCGGATCTGTGAGTGTGATGAACCATGTTTCTCTCCTGGGTTTCCTCTAATGGTCAGAATTGACTGGCCAGCTCATAAAAGAATACAAAACAGACTTACCTTGTAAAACGGGGGTTACAAAACTTAAATTTATCATGATTGCCAATGGTTTGGGACTAGAATATGAAGTTTAAAATATCTGCATACAAAACAGGCAGAGAAGAAGAATTGATCTCAATGATATTAAAATATGGTCATCTTTCTAGGGACAAGATTGGTTCCAGGACCCCCCTGCAGATATCAAGATCCATGGGTGCTCGTAGCAGGGTATTTGTATAAAACATGTGCATCCTCCCGTATACTTTACATTGCCTCTAGGTTATTTATGATACCTAGTACCATGCAAATGCTATGTAAATAGCTGTTATACTGTATTGTTTGGGGAATAATAACGAGAAAAAAGTCCATATGTGTTCAGCGAAGACGCAATTTTTTTCTGAATATTCTCAGCCCAGGATTGGTTGAATTGATGGATGCTAAACCCGTGGATACAGCGGGCTGACTGTACATGAATCTTGTTCCATTCATTTCTTGAGACTTTGCTTTTAAGACTGTGTGGATTTTTGTCTGAGCTTTTGATAATTACTTCTATTTCTACTGAAAAACAACACACAGGGGAACAAGAAACCCCACACAAACTACCCTTTCATCTTTGTATCCCAGCTCCAGTCTTGTATGCACAAAGGAGACAAGTTCTTCCTAGGGCTTCAAGAAATAAAATCACAGAAGAGATTCGAATGGTAGGCGATCTAAGAGCACAGAAAAGACTCCAAAGGAAATATTAATTTCAACTTTTATACCCAGAGAGGTTAGGGTATAGTCCAGAATACTCTGCACAATTACAATGTTTTCCTAAAACACTGTTTGTTAATCCACACAAACTTTCTGTGCTGCTTCATAACTTACCAGCAATTATTTTAATAGACAACTAAAAATTTCCACAAAATTAAAAATTACATTTCTTCTAGAAAATTCTCCAAAGTTTTTTTTTTATTTGAGCAATGTTTGTTCTTTAGCTCTTTGTGTTATTTCCAAACACACATAGCCCAATATAAGCACAAAGGAAGTATGTTGTAAACACACACACACACACACACACACACACACACACAATGTTCTGGTCAAACTGGAATCTCCCTAGAATGTGGAAGCAGAAATGCACAGATGCTAACACAAAAGGAGAAGGGAAAAAATTATGCTTTGTTTTGCAATGTCTCATCTTTTTCTCCCTTAAAGGAGTTCTTAAAGGTAGGATAGCTAAAGAAATCATTGTAGGTCATACAACTCCATTTATATGATAAAAAAGAAACTGGCTACCCTGGAAAATTATGGAAACTCTCAATATTCACTTTATAAGATTGCACATTACCTTTCCCTAAAGCAATGACCATGGGAACCCAAGATTTCGGCATATTAGAAATGACCATAAGCATAGTTACATCTTCAGTTCTCATCCACATAGTGCAGGAGATTAGAGGTGCACTTCAGGATGGTTCGCTACCTTCCTTGTTATAGAAAAGAGGAAGCAACACTCAAGAACCTGCCATGTGCAAGTGACTATATTTTAAAGCACTTTGCATTCAATGCCTCGATACTCCACAAGTCTGTGCATCCATGTTTAACATGCCTTCTATGGGTTAAAACTGAAGGGGGCTGAGAGCCCACCCAGCAATTTAGTAGCAGAGCCAGGGTTTGACCCCCACTTTTCTCTCAAAGCAGAACCCCATGCTTCCTCCTTGCTATAGTTTGAATCAGGAATGTTGCCCAGAGGGAGGCCTAGGTGTTAAAGGCATAGTATGCAGCCAGGTGCCATGGGAGTTGGTAGAAACTTTCAGAAATAAAGCCAAGTTGAAAGATTCCCAATCTTTGAGGGTGGGATTTTGAAGGGACTGTCATGGTGTGCTGCCCTCTATCCCCAAGAAGTCTACAAGCCCTAGATCTGCCCAGTCACGGACTGGAATCTCCAAAATGGTGAGCCAAAAGAAACTTTCCTCTGGGAAAATTAATGAGGATATTTGTTAAGCTGACCCCCCTCCCTGATTCTGCAAAAAAAAGAAAAAAAAAAAAAAAAAAAAAAAAAATATATATATATATATATATATATATATATATAAATATATATATATATATAACCTTTGCTGTTGTTGGGCAGGTGAAAGAGTAAACTCCTGCTCTGTTCCAGATTTTTGCCTTCAGGACAAACTTCAACACCAAACTCTGCCAACTGTGATTGACAACCTCGAGGGGGTTTTTTTGTTGTTGTTGTTTTTGAGAAATTAGTTTGGCACTATCCAGTAACATTGAAGAAATAAGCACCTTATGACTAGTAATTCCACACTTAGGATGTACTTCTGCAACCAAGATCCTGCTGGAGAAGTAGTAACACCATTGTTCGCCTGAGCCCCAGACTGGAGATGACCATCCATGGTAGGATAGCTAAAGAAATCATTGTAGTTCATAGAACTCCATTTATATGATAAAAAAATACAAGTAAATTAATTAGCATGAATTCATCTTTCAAACATATTGCTGAACAAAAAAAAATACAAGAACTCTTAAAGTATGATTTTGCTGGGAGCCATTAGCCAAGTAGGTATGACAATTTCCTTGCCAGCGTACCCCATGTTGCAGTGACATTGAATGTAGGTGACCTTGTTCAAGGACCAAGGTGGATTAGGGCGTTCCCAGTTTAGGTTCCAGGTTTAAGGTTTAAGATTATTCCTGCTGGGAATAGGGCGTATCCTGCTGCCTGAGTTCCCCTTGAGTTCTCACGGGATTTAGACAGTATATTTTGGAGATAGAAGCCCAGTGGAGGTGAATTTGGGCAGAGAACGTGGATTTGGGAAGAGAACGTGGATTTCCCCAGAACGTGATTGTAGACGGCTGGTGTGAGTTCGGGAATAAAGAGTTGCTGTTTGAATCTACAAGCTGTGTGGTGGCTCGTGATTGTGTGCCCAGCCAGACTGCGGCATGATTTGTATTATATAAAGTTCAGAAACATGAAAAAATAGACTATATTGTTCAGCAATGCTTGCATACGATTAAATGATTTTAAAAACAAGGAAATAGTTACCATAAAGTCAATGATAGAAGATATCCTAATGGGGCAGGAGGTAGTCCAATGGAGCACAGCCTCACAGAGGGCCTCTGAGTGTTGGACTTATTATTTGGGCTGTGACCATACAAGTATTCACCAGTAATTATTTGAGAGGAAGCTCTATCCTCCACTTATGTCCGCAGGTGGGGCCTGTAGTAGCTAATCACAGCAGGGGATGCCTACCTGTGCTGGCTCCGAGGTTGCAGCCAGCAAAGCCTCATTCTTCTCTGCTACCTTTGAGGGGTGAGCTGCACCTCTTCATTTGGCCACGCCCTCCAGGTTGCAGCAGACCCCAGGAGCTCACCACCAACTTCTGAGTTCTTGTCTCACAAATCCAAAAAATGAAATTCACCAGACAATGGAAGGCAACAGTGAAAAGAATGATTTATTCGAGTGCGAACTCTCACAGGGGCAAAGGGGGCTAACGGGGGGGGGGGGGGGGGCTAGTCTAGGGGTTTACATAGCACTTGGGTCAATGCTACTGGCCCAAATTTATGCTAATTAGGTTTGGAAAAGCACTGATGCTACTGGTTGGCCCTTAAGTTTCTGAACTTCCATTTTCTCCCAGATGCTCCCTAGGAAGCAAGAGATTGAGTTCCTTAGATTTTGGATGCTGGAGATGAGGTAGATAGGGAAGATTAGAGGGGAGGCGGGGGATAGTAGGGGATAGGAAAGGCAGCAGAATACAACAGTCATTAATATGGCATTATGTAAAAATTGTGAATGTGTAACTGATGTGATTCTGCAATTTGTATTTGGGGTAAAAATGGGAGTTCATAACTCACTTGAATCAAATGTATGAAAGATGATATGTCATGAGCTTTGTAATGTTTTGAACAACCAATAAAAAAAAAAGATTTTGGATGCTGGGGATTCCAGGCTACAGTGCATATCAGGTACACAGCACTGGGTCCAGGAGGGGCTATCTCCCTATGACAGGTCAGTCTTGGCCCTGGCTTACTGAGCCTGCTGGCATGGCAGGCTCTGGGCCACCACTCCAGAGCTCTGGGACAAGGACTTGGCTTCATTATGATGCATTTTTCCATATGTGTATGTATTTCAAAATTATAAATGTTTAAAAAACTAAAAGTTGTTATAAAGTAAAATTTGGGGAAGTTCACTTGATGCTACAGTAAACTCTGACCCCCGAACTCCTCACCTTACTTATCTTCTACTTTAATTGTTAAGATGCCAACAAGGATGAAATTTTAGATGAGAATAAGGAAGACAGAAAAGAGAACTGCCCAATAAAGCAGTTCCTGTAATCATTCAGAAGAGAAAATAAATACAAATGTTAGAATATATGTAGATTAGACCACAGAATTCACATTTATTGAGTGCCAGTATGTATCATGACACGTACACATATGCACACAAACATAGGAGCAATTCAAACATCAATGTTCCTTATATAAAGAAGAAAATCAGCATAAGAATCATAGCCTCTGGGACAGGAGTCCACTGTGTTTCTCATTTGCTAGCAAAACAATAAAACTTCTTTTTCCTTTTTCTTAAAACCACATCCTCATTATTGGATTGGCACCAGAGACAAGGAACAAGTTTTTGGAAACAAATTTGGTACCCCAGGTAGGACCTGAGAGCAGCCCTGCTCCAGCTTTCTTGGGCAGGCCTGGTTCTCCAAAGAATCCCACTTCCATGCTGAGGATCTATGGTCCTGGTGAACTTGAGAGCCAACTACTGGAGAGTTAGGAGATGGGTGAGTTTGCCTCCGATAGAACTGGAGGCACTATCCCTTTCAGTAAGGAAGGGACTGAGGACTCTCTCAGCAGCTGCCAAAGCACCTTTTCCTTTGGGAAACATCCACCTTCTCTCCCTGAATGGCACAGTTTGCTCCAGCCACTGTGAGAAAAAGGAAACTCAACTCAGTAAAGTCACAACACCATCTGGTAAGTCTGCTGTGTGCACGACAAGACACCTGGTCCCTCTTTGTCGGGAAACCTGTGGTACCACTGGTGTAGGAGTCAAAGTTAAGCAGGATTCGAGAACCTGGCCTCTGCCCTGCCTTCCAGCCCCATTTACCCATTGTGGGTGGAGGCTGCTGGCCACAAAGGACATGGAAGTAGGTTACAGCACTGTCAGCTTGTGACCTGGGGACAGGAATAATCTCCCCTTTTAAGAGCTGACAGGAGACCCCATTTGGCAGGGGATAGTCATCACAGGTGCAAAGCAGTTCTTAATAGAATCCCATCAAACTAAATGCCTGGGGAGACTTGCAGAATAAACAACTGCACCCAGAAAAGAAAAACACAGAAACTAAGGCCGACCTGTGTTTTGTAGGCAGGCTCTGCAATGGGATCTTCAAGGAAGCCTAAAGAAAAGGATGGAAAGGCCCTCTTCTCTTCTATATCAATATGCCTAGTATAAGAAAAGGCCCAAAAGGATCCTCTGGGTACAACTGATAGTGGGAAAGCCACTTAAGATTGATTATATCATGATAATGATAAGGAAGACAGGTCAGACTCAAAAATATCATGTGCTCCAAACCCTTGAATGCAACTTGGAAGAAAAAAGAATAAGGCACAGTTTTTGTATATGCTATATAGTCTGACTCCTCTCCCCTGAGATGAAATTTGTTGTGCAAATTACATGCACAAAAGCCATTTATAAGGATTGTTTCAGAATGTGGATTTAAGAAATCGTCCAAAATTAGAAAAGATAAAAGAAAGTTATAGGAATGGAAATATCTTTTAGTGCAGAAAAATAGAAGATAAAAGAAATGTTTCTAGATAAGAAAGTATTTTGTTTGGTGATGTAATATTCTCGTGCTAAAGTCCACAGTGAAAGAGAGGACAAAACTAAGGATGTAAACAAGTTGTGAATGTCTACATAAGTCACAGAAGGTTTGTGGAAGGTAAATCTCAAAAAGTTTGTGTCTGTGATTAAAATGGCTATAATTACCCCCCAAAAGTTATGAACTTTAATGTAATGATATGAAGCAAAGTCTGAAACATTTATTTGCTTTTGTCTATCAATATGATTTTCTTTGACTAGAATTTTCTTTTTTTAAATTTTTTTATTTGTTTTCTTATATCTCTTAGGTTTCATTACTTATAGAAACTAAGTCTTAAAGGAATTAATGTTGGTACCTGCTTCAAAGTTTTTAAAACTATTACTTTGTAACTGGTTGAACAACTATTATTTTATAACAATATAGTTGACACCCTAAATATGTAAGTATACTAGATACATGTATACATCTTGAAATGATAGCTTTCTGAGCCTTGTCTAAGTGTTACATAAAAGTTTATAAAATGAAAGTTTATGTAGGTTGACTGGAAAGGTAATTAATAAGTGTTCTCCTTTATACACTGTATCAGACATATAAGGGCCACACTATCATTTGAAGACACTATGGGTTCTAAATAGTGGAATGTATTACAATTCTTATTACATATATAGACCACAATTTTTCATATCTCTGGTTGTATACATAGTACATTCACACCAATTAGTGTCTTCATACCTGTACTTTGGATAATAATGATCATCACTTTCAACCATCATTAATTACCCCACCCCTACCTCGCTTCCTCTCCCACCCTTCTTTCCCCCTTCTCCTCCCACCCTTCTGTCCCCCCTTCCCCTCCCACCCCTCTGCCCTATCTAGAGTTCATATATTCTTCCCATGCTCCCTCTCCCTATCCCACTATGAATCAGCCTCCTTATATCCAAGAATATATTTGGCCTTTGGGTTTTTGGGATTGGCTAACTTCACTTAGGATTATCTTCTCTAACTCCATCCATTTACCTGAAAATGCCTCCTTTAATGCTGAGTAATATCCATTTACCTGCAAATGCCATGATTTTATTGGTCCTATGACAGCTCCTCTGACCTTAAGGGTCTGCAGAAAGAGAAAGAGAGAGAGAGAGCATGAACCCCTTTATTGAGGAGAAGCCATTCAAATGAGGCAAGGGGTCAGATTTAAGGGATTTGAGTCCAGCTTCGTGATGTCTGCTGCCAGCAGTTGACTGACATCTGGGAAGGCCACAACCAAAGGCAGAGCAAGAGAAGGGGACACACAAAGGGTGTTTCCATGGAACATTCTATCCCAAACAGGGCAAAGGGGTAGTGTTACAATAGAATAGGTGAGTGCAGCTCCTGAAGACACATCTTCTACTTCCTGGGCTGGGACAACGCCCAAGTCACCATGAAATGTAGTGATCTAGTGATCTGTCAGAGCCTCTTGCTTCAGGATGGAAAGTGTGGGTCATTCAGAGTGGCTCCCCACAGGCAAGGATAGAGAACTGGCTTAATTTTCTGTAGACATATAAATCAGAGCAACTTTGAAAAATGTTTGATAGTCAAACTAAATACACACACACACACACACACACATACACTGTATAATCCTGTAATCCTACTCCAGGGTACAAACTCAACAGAAATAAGTTCCATGTGCACAAAAGACATGAACAAGAATTTTGATATCAGTTTTATTGAAATAGCCCCAAACCGTAAATGATCCATATATTTATCCACAGTTGATTGAACAAGTAAATTATATAGTCATGAAATGAAATACTATGCAGTAACAAAAAAGAATAAGTCACCGTGATATATATTACCATTATTGAATAAATCTCAAAAATAAAAAGTAAAATGAAAAAAAAAAAATCAAGCTTTAAAGAGTAGGTGTTGCCAGGCAAAGCAGCACATGCCTATAATCCCAGCAACTGGGGAGGCTGAGGCAAAAAGTTCAAGGCCAGCCTGGGCAACTTAGTGAGACCATGTCTCAAAATAAAAAAATAAATAAATAAAAAGGACAGAAGATGAAGCTCAGTGGTAAAGCACTACTGGGTTCAATCCCCTTTACTGGGAAAAAAAGTGTAATTATTATATAATTCTACTTATATGATGCATAAAAACAGACAAATTTTGTGTATGGTGGCAGAAATCTGAAGAGCAGTTAGCTTTGGCGGGAGGACAGCTACCCAGAAGGGCACAGTGGGTAGTCCTAGGACCCTGGATATAGTCTATATTTTGATCTACTTAGTAGTCATATGGGTTCATACCCATTTAAATATTTATTAAGCTGTACACTTAATACTTATAAATTATGGCAGGTACACCCTGATAAAAATACATAAATAAAAAACTGTAGGGACCAAATTTTTTAAAAAAGATACAAATATTTCTTTTCCCAAGGAATATTAATTCTCCTCCTAAATTTTTGTTGCTGGTCATGAGATTATTAAAATTTTATAAAAGCTGGTTTTGTTTCAAATCACATATTTCCCCACTTAGGATCAAATGCTAAAACGTGAGCCATTTTCATTCATCCATGTTCTGTTGGATGTCCATTTCCATTGCTCCGTACACACCAGCACACCGGGAATCAGAGAACTGAATTTGAACCCCTGCTGAGCTGCTCCTTAATCCCTTCCTCTCCTGCTTTATCTGCTTCCTGGCTACCAGGAGGCCAGCAGCTTTCCTCCACCGCATGTTCCTTCTCATGATGCTATATCTCACCACAGGTCCAGAAATAACACAGCCAAGTGACCATCTGAAACTGTGAACCCCAATAAATCATTCATCCTTTAAGTCGATGTTCTCAGATATTTTGCCAAGGCAGCAGAAAGCTAAGACCTCTAGAACAGGGTTCAGCAAATGAGAGCCTGCAGATAAATCCCGCCAGATGACTGTTTTGTAAACCAAGGTTTTTATTAGACTATGGCCATGCACATTCACTTATTTATTGTCTATGGCTTTTTTTCTGCTAGAAGGACAGAAGAGGGTAGTTGTGGTAGAGATTACATGGGCCATGATGTCTGAAATATTTGCTGACTCTTCACAGAAAAAAAGTTTTCTTGTCTCCAATTTAGAAGAATGCCTAGCACAAAGGATAAATGTAATAAATGTAAAGACTATTCCTTATTGGCTCTCTCATTCTTTGGGCTTGCTTTTTTCCTAATGGCACAATCAGTTCTCTTTCAGCAGGATGGCTCTTGCCTGGAACTACTTCACTGATAGCATTCCACACTATACTTCCCAAGAGAAGAAAGAACTCATTCCCTTGGATCAGAGAATTAAAGTTCAAATTCTTCTTCACGTCATGGGGGCATCTCAAAGGGAGAATCAAAAGACTTTCACAGGTGAGCAAGATAAATCAGATTCTACCTGCCCTGCATTTCTTCAAAGGAACACTTTAGATCTTCCTTTGCCAACCAAAATTTACATAATGACCAGGAAAACTTCTAAATTTTCTATCACAATTTGTTATATATAATATCAATATCTTTCAAAACACAGAGTACTTTGAAATTCTAGTGTTTTCCTGCAATTCTTTTATCACTGAAATTAAACTACTTTAAGCCTAAGTTATGATACCAACTCCCATGTCCATTAGAGTCATGTTTTCTGGGAGTTTTCTGTTTGTTTTTTGTTTTGGTTTTCTAGTCAATGTTTTTATCTTTGCTTCTTAGGAATATAACTTTTAATAAGTTTCAACATTCAATACCAGAAGTTTGACACCCAGAGGATAGGTTTTGGGAATCCACTTCCTGTGTTTCCTTTAATGCTGAGAACTTCCGGCATTATACAAGGTGTATATGGAGGAAAGTTGCGTCCCTGGTTTATCTTTGGGAGGGTATGGAGTGAGCAGTGTTAGGGAGAAGTTGCATGCAAAAGAAGTTGTATTGTAAGCCCACTAATAGCTGCTCTTCCAACCACTACTGGATTTCTATAAAAATGCCTGAAATGAAGTGATAAGGTTTCAGGATCCCCTCTTTGAAATCTATCCCACTTATATACCATCCAAACCTGCCTTCCTGCATTTCCCCCTCAGAATCTGCCTCTTGGACATCTACCTCACACAAGCTTCCACCAAGTCCCATCTGATTAGGGTTTCATTTAGTCTCTGAGCTTTGTTCCTAAACACTGTCTCTGGGCCTACTTTAACTCCATAATCCATGTGAATCTAGGCTCACCCCATCCCCGTGTACATCCAGCTTCCCAGATTCCAATTCTGCCATCTTTGGTAAGATAGTTACAACATTCAAAATATATAGAGGAAAAAAATACGTAGAAAATTGCTGTATAGCATATGACTCACTAATCCTGGGAGGTGCACTGAGAGGAAATAATTCTGTTATAAAATACATTTTGGAAATGCTGAATTCCCTACCACCACCATCAATGGTGATTGTGAAGTTCCATAGTAAAGAAATCTATTTGGTTTTTAGATGTTTTATTTATGCATTGTAGTTATACATAATAGTGGGGTTCATTTTTTACATCATACATTTGTGGAATATAATTTGCTCTATTTCAAACTCCGGTAATTTCAGTAGTCTCCCCTCTTCCCTCTCCTTGTTCCCCTTCCTCTCCTCTACTGGTCTTATTTCTAGTTGGTTTTGTTTTGTTTTGTTTTGTTTTGTTCATTTTTACTTTATAGATACACATAAAGGTGAAATTCATTTTGGCATATTCACATATGTACACAGCATAATTTGGTCAATTTCATGCTACAGTTCCTCCCTTTTCCTGTCCCTCCTCCCTCCCCCACTATCCACTTCCTCTCTTCCACTAATCTTCCCTCTATTTTCATGGGATCCTCTCAAAACCCTTATTTTCCCTCTACGTTCTGCATAGGAGAGAAAACATTCAACCCTTGACTCTTTCCATTCCATAGACCATACTTTGGGAAATGATAGTTGATTTCAGCTATAACCAGTTCAAATGCTTTAAATGTCCAGGTGTGTAAATAAATGTGAGGAACATTTTGGTAGAAGATGTAGGACTCGTAGGTCCTTACTTTCTAAAGGCATTCAAGTTCAAAGCACTAAAAACAAACAATGGATTGAGAAATAGAGAGATTTGTTGGTCAATCAGAGTGCATTTATGGAGAAAAATACAACTCTTGAGCCACAGTTCTCAGTTCCTGATCTCAGTCACTCTTCAGCTAACAAGTAAAAGCAAGAGTCTCAGAAGGAATAACTTAGTATTTCCACCGTAGGATTGTTGATTATTTTGAAGTGGTTATGATTTACAGATTTCAGTCAGCTTTTGCACTGCTGTGACTAAATGACCTTACCAGCACAACTGTAGAGGAGAAGGAGTTTACTTATGGGCTCACAGTTTCAGAGGTCTCAATCCATAGATAGACAACTGGTTCCATTCCTCAGGGGTCCAGGTGAGACAGGAACAACATGGCGGAAGAGTGTGGCAGAAGTAGGTTACTGGTGATCAGGAAGCAGAGAGAGAGGTCTCCACTATCGAGATATAAAATATATATCCCTCAGCCACCCCCAATTTCCACCTCCTTTGGCCACGCCCCACCACTCATTTAATCCCCATCAAGGGTTAATTCACTAATTGGGCTAAGACTCTTACAACCCAATCATTTTTGCTCTGAACCTTCTTGCATCGTCTCACACATGAGCTTTTTGGGGACACCTCACATCCAAACCATAACAAGGTTCATGTCAATACAAAATATCAAATTCATGTCCTTACCAAACATACCCCAGGCCATCTGTTGTTACCTTTTATATTGTAGATAAAGCAATTTATGTTCAGATTATTTGACCTCCCTAGAATTAGATTGATCAAACTGACACTTGAGTTCGGATCTCTCTGCTTCAAAGTCTGTGTTCTTTCTGACTACTATTATGCCTCCCTCCTGGCAGGACAGGAATGTGGTACTTCACATGACAAGGGTAATACATAATGGCAAGTAATGAAATCTTCAGCTAACCTGGCAGAGTTGAGTGGCCATATATTTTCCAAAAGTAATCAATTCACAGGTCTTTTTTAAAAAAATAGCAATTATAATAATGGTAGACCTACCATTTTTTAAACACTTGCATTACTAAGGTCCATATTAATCATATTCCATTATTC